TATATATATATATATATATATATATTAGGGTTGCGTATCTCGTCATAGTAATCGATGCGATACATATCCAGATATTGATGCTGCGATACGATATGTATGTAGATACAGAATTTTTACCAAAGGTTTGTTACAAAGTTTGACAGTCTTGTCTGTAATTTATCATCTATATTACTAACATTATCTTATTTAAGTACTTCACACATTACAGGGCTTTTTCAAATTCTCAGGTTTGATCAACTAAATGGCAGCTGGCAAGAGAAGTAAAAAATAAAGTTAATAACTGTTTGTCTATTTTGTTATTGTTAATTTGTTATGTTACTTTTCATGTAATGTTTTTGATAAAAGAAATGAAGACAACATGTTGTACTTAATACTCATCTTCCTTTATTGAATCATTAATTTTCAGCAGAAATACTTTATTAGAAATTCTGATTTTTTTTCTGTACAAAAGACTTATAATGTTTACTGAAAGCTTGCCAAATTTCATTAAGATACATAAATCGTATAGTACGGTATATCAATACAATCATATCTCAGCTTCACGATATGAGTATATATCGTATTGCTGTATCACCACACCTTTAATAAATATGCATCATGATTCACAATATGACAGACTTTTATCAAAACATAGGATGAGACATATATGCCTGGTTTTCTTATCTGTTTTTGGTTGATTGATGGCATGCTGTAAAGAATATTCTAAATGTAGGATAACTGTTTTTTGTTAGAAAAATAACATAGATTATTTCTACAAGTACTTAATTTTGGTAGTCAATATTGTGAGTTATGAAAAATAAAAGAGAGATGTACAGTTTTCTATATTTGCAATTGATTACATAAAAAATTATGAAACTTTATGAACAACACATTTAAAAGACTATTACCTACCACTAAACATTTTCTACTTTCATTGTCACTAACACGTACAAAATTACTTTTCTGTCCTACTTTATTTCATGGAAAGCTCCAACTATAAAATATCTTTATACTTAATTATATCAAAGAAACTGTATGCTAAATGCATATGTCATTCTGTTTTAAAACTATAAAAGATAAAAGCATGTTCCAAAGAAATCTTGACCCCTCTCTTTTTTTAATCGTAAAAAAAAATCATAAGAGATGTGAATGTTTTTCATAGATTGTGTCACTAATTCAAGGCAAATATAGAATCTTATTGTTTCAGAAACACATTTTATTATGAAACTTCACATTCAGAGTTTCAACTTTTATCACTCATTATGCAAAACTACTGCTAGGAAGCTACTAAACCTTACTGGACACAGTTTGGTTTATCTGATATGAAAACCTTTAAGACAGACTAGAACAAAAAAAATACTAAAAATTATATATATGGAAAATTATATATTTTTGGAAAATAATTTAAATGTAGTATATATATACACACACATATATATATATATATGTGTGTGTATATTTCTACTAGCCATCAGGAATAACTATTTATTACCAAGAAATGTTAGCATTTAATGTGGACACAGAAATGTCAATGTCAACTGTATAGAGACTTGTGATTACTAAGTCGACCATTGTAGTATTGTTAACATGTATAATTTATGCAGAAATTTAAGATGTCATTATTCAGCCATCTTAGAATTGTTAACATGTGTGTAGGGTAGTAACAATGCTGACATACATTCATTGCAGTGACCAGTTACTTCTTATCTTTCTAATAACATTAATTTCTGCAGTGTAATGAGTAGTCATTTTAGTAACATCAACATGCATACAGTGCAGTAACCAGTCATTACTAAGTCATTCTAACAATGCAAATATATATGCATTGCAGTGACCAATTATTCTCCAGTTGCTTGAGGTATGCAATGGCTGAAATGACAAGTCATAGAAGCAACTTTTCAAGGTAGAGATTCTTTTTTTCATTTTTCTGTGCACTGTTACATGGGACACATGGACAACATTTGCCACTGATCCTTGTACTTGTGAACTCTTAGCAACTACAAGATGGAACACCTTGGTTACCATGATTTGTTGTATAACTCCTTCTGGGTGGTTGTGGTGCTCCAAGTTGATCCTTTTTCCTTTGTTTTCCAATGCCATTAAGTGCAAGTGATATCCCCATCTTGGAAGTTCTAAATTTTTGATTTGAACACAATTTTTTGATGTAACTGAATATTTTGTGTCAGAAAGGACTGCTACATACCCTTCATTACCTACAATTGCCAAACAAAGTCCAAATATAATTCTGATATGATTCTTTCCACTGTGAATTTGGCTGTCATGTGACTTATTAATTTTCATGTTTAAAATCATTTTAATATTGTGTCTTCTCAGATTAACTGATTCCCACAAGGAGTATTAGGTAGATCTGCCTTATAACAGGAGGATTGATCAGGGTAATTACAGAGTAAATCTGAATATAGCTACACTGATTGAGTTTTATGATAAAAAATAAACAGACTGGAAATGTTGCATAAAGTGAGAACAGTATTTATTTATCTTCAAAGCAAGAAAAACAGAATGCATACTTGCATAGGGCACAAGATCAATGAATCAGTTGGCAGCTTTCATCTCTCAAGATGTTTTTCTGTCAAGAGACTCGCATTTAAAACCAACTTGAACTGTGTGAATCGACTGCTTACCAGAAAATATTGGATTTAACTATAATACCAGCACTACTCAAGTGATTGGTCATTCCCACACAGCATACTTATGGATATAACCTCTAGATATCATCTACTCAGCCAGCAAAGGCCATGTCTGTTGTTGACCCTGTGGGCAGAAGAGGTATTATATCTAAGAAAACAGCAAAGGAACACTGATAGCTATGCATAAGTACAAAAAACTTAAACCTTTTAATGAAGACACAATTTGCTGTGATCACATTAAAAACTTGAACATTGACCCCATTTAAATGAATGAAAACTTTTTCATTGATACAATAATTACAATGCAGAAATAAAATTAATGAAGTCCAAAATAAACTAAACCCTTTCAGAAAAGTCATAATGGAAATCAGATATAATACATACATATATATTCAAAAAATTAACCCTTTAATATATATAAAATCAAAACAATAGAAAAAAGGATTAGTTTGATAATACCGCAATCAATTTCAAAGTAATGAACACACATCATGAAACTAACCAAATGAAAAAATTAAAATACCAGGTGGAATAGCCCTTGTTTAAAAAACATCTAACATACTTGATATATATATATATAATCGGTATAGATATAATAGTACTGTGTGTTGTATGTCTATGTAACTACTTTGCAAGGTGTGGATGGATCTTCACCAAAATTGCTATGGAGTACTGTGTGCTTATTTGAAATATTTTAACCAGAATTACTGAAAATGTTCTACAACAACAAACAAATCTGGATACACCATCTTTATATTTACCTGTGTCGACCCCAGGATTCTTAAAGTGTGTGTGTGTGTGGGGGGGGGGAGATAAAAGGGTGCCAGACACATGGGCTTAGGGAAGAAAGCTTTTTTTTAAGGATAAATAAAAAAACAACCTTGGAAGATAAATTAAGAAGCTCTAAAAAAGAATGATTATTTTTGTTACAGAATATCTTCATTACTATTACAAACATACTGGTCTATTATATAAGGTTCTTCATTGGTTTGCTGCATTTTTTCATTGAGGTATCACACTGACTCTGCAAGTTAATAAAATAATTAAATAAATCAATATGAAACTCTTTAAGTGAGTAAACATTTTAAAATTTAAGTATAACTCCACAGAATAGTTTATACAAGCTCATAACACAGATATATATTGTTACGTCTCCGTTCGTTAGTTAATTTTCCGTAAATTCGTTCCGACGAAATTTTAGCGACACAAGTCCTTTCCTAAATAAA